GGAATTAAACGGAAGTGTGTGCATAACACAAACTTCTCACTGCCATGAGTCAGCTAGAAGAACTAGAAACCTTTTGTGGAAGTTAAGAGAGTCTGAAAAGAAGCAGCAGAGAAAAACAAATGGTGATGCAAATAATGTTCAAACGCCAATATCAGATAATATGTGAGAACTGTTTACCGTTGCCATTGTCCATTGTTCATCTGCGCTGCCTAAATGTGAGAAGTTGTGCAAAAAAGTATTCTAACAGTAAACTAGTCGAAGTATATTTGGCATCATTGGACAGAAAGTTCCAACATTTATGGACCAAAAATTATAATAATCATTATTAGATGCATAGAATTTTCTGATTTAAGCGTCTGTTTCCATCGTGCAGGACTATCCCTTCCATGTAGCCAGTGCAGTATGCGAGTGGATTGTTGCCTTTACCTTTGTCTTCTTCTTCTTCACATACATTCATGATTTCAAGGTCAGTATCTCACTGTCACACATAGTATATAGTTTTTTAATATATATTTATTCATTTGCTAAAATTCTTCTTTTTTTATTCTCCTACAGTTCTTTACCTTACGGGTGAAAGCAGAACTTGAGGATTAGTCTTGGAACATTTTGGGCCACAAACATTAAGATAAATAAGTATTTACATTTTATGTATGTATCTTTATTCCTGTCCAATTTCCCCTGGCTGAAATTTTGGTAGAATACAGTAGATACTTAAAAATATATCTATTTATGCATTTTAGTACAACTGGCTGTCTGTCACGTGTGACAGATGGAAAAACTATGCAAATACTGTATTATTACATTGTTTTTACACAAACTATTTTCAAGTGTACTTAATGTTGCCTGTTTACTTTGCACTTTGCTGTTGCCACACCAGCATGACACATTCTGTGAGAGCTCTGACTTTACATAGGAGAAGTTCATCACACAGTAAGCACATGATCGATGCACTCGGGGCTAAATGACAATACCACTCAGACCACTCAGTATGTCTGTGGCTACTTGGCAGTCTGACCTGTCTTTGACTGACAGTAAATGTGTACTAGTTGTTGGTTTTGTGCAGAGGTTTATGAATTCCCAGTTTTATTGGATGACCACATTATTGCAACATCAAATTAAGGAGGAAAACCTCCTGCTGTGGATGCTCAGATTCAGAGTTTTGGTTTCGGTATTTGAATCTGTCCTCTCCACATTGTTGACTCATGAAAAGTCCAACATGGTGTTTCTGACTGACATGAGTTACTGTATACTGTTCACGTTCTCAGTCATGCTAGCAGACACTCCAATATCATCTCTGGTGCTGCTACAAATGTAGATTTTCATACAGGTAATAGGAATTATGCTACTTTTTAGTAGGAATTATACAATATGAACCGAAAGTAAAGCTGGAATTCTGGAGGTTCATTCAATAGGGCTTTTGGCTGGTTTTTCACTTGTAACCTTACATCGTACGGTTTTAATCTAGGCAGAAGTTTCTGGTACCAAGTATGGATCTTGTACCTAGTAAGAAAAAGATATATTTTTTAAGTGTGTAAGGTATGAGTCATGGATCATTTTAGGTGTGCAGGCTGACTTTAAAGTAAGGATGGCAAACTTTAGACAACTTTGATCTTAAATGAGCTGGACCAGTGGAATTACATGATAAATATGTAAAATCATAGAAAAGCTTTTGGTAATTTATTACCCAGACAGTCTTTGTCCAATCCGCTGTCAAAAGCTTGAATTTATATAGACGACAGTGAAAAAACAGGAACTTGCTGTCATTTTCTTGTTTATCTATGAATTACTTTGGCGTAGTATGTCTGCCAAGCTCAAAAACATATCAGAATACAGTTAAAAGTACAAAGTCTATGCACTCCATCACATTTTCCAGACCTGCCGAGTGGCAAATTGGAGTCTTTACCAGGCCAATTCTGGCCCCAGGCCTTATGTTTGACACCCCGTACATAAAGGGTGTTGGACTACACCCATCTTCCAAAAATAGATTTTAGCAGGCGGGTGGGGTGAGACGTTTGTGGCATTGCAGCTGGTGTAATCTGGCGTAGTTTATTTATTTACTTTTAGATGTTTAGAGGAAAACATCTAAAATTGAGAGCCACTGTTTTAGCCAAAAATCAGCAAAGTAAAGTCACTGGGAGACTAGAAGAGGGCTGTAAAACTCTGAGAAAAATGTGTGATTTAGAGATTGTTACATAAAAGGAACAAGGGAAGATATTAACAAACTAGAAGGCTACTTGAAAGTTTCATTACCTTTAATCTCTCAGACAGAGAGACATGCAAGACATGCAAACTGAGAAAAGTGGTCAAGTTTTAGCGGAGCAGCAGGCACATACTTCTGCTGAACTGCTCTCGACTGGAGCTGTTAATGTGGAGCTGGAATAAACGTACTGTACATTAAAGAAAATAAAAGGATCCTGCGCAGTGATGTATACAGGTTGTAACCATTTCACTACAGGTACTGTTTTTATAAGAGGGAAACGTTTTATTTTTGTTTTTTCTGAACTACTTTTGTACTTTTGCTTATAAAATGAGTTACAACACAGATTGTAATGCACAGCTGAGATGCATAATAAAAGCACATATTTAAAAAAAGAAAAGAAAAAGTGTACGAGTGTTTATTTAAGGCAGAATCACAGATCCAGCACGGTGTTTTTTCAGTACAACTCCACACTTATCTCACTTCAATTTAGCATCTGTTAAAAGACATCTTATCCCTGACAGCGATGACATGATTGCTCCTCTTTCTCAGGCTTGTACCCACAAGTTTTGAATCACACGACGATGAAGAGTCGTACTTCCTACCAACAACAAACACCACAAGAAAGACTGCAGTTCACACATCACCTACAAAAGCTAGAGCATAACTCTACAAAACCAGGTGAAGATCAAGGGGCATGTCATTGGACTGACTGGCTGTAGAGTTTATTAGTACTCAGTGTCTTAATAGTACAGTAATTAATTTCTCTGTATCAAACATCAAAACTTAAGCAGCTTTGGGAAATTAAAATTTTTCAAAGAATTTGAAAATCAAACAACAAACAAATATCAAAAAGAAAATAGTTTTATTGTTATAAATTATTAGATTCAACTAAATGGATGAAAGTGCACTAGGCAGTGCTGCAGGTACGGATTTAAAGTCTTGATAAAGAATATTTTAGTCTGAACAGCATCCTCTTTTTCCATCAAGGTTACACAATAATCAAAACGATTACTGCACAAGTCTTACCATTATTGGAGAATAAACCATTTCTGAATAACATGGCAAATATTAGCCACTTTTGCTCATAATCAGCAAGTGTTTATGTTGTGATGTCTCCGAAAGACGGCACTCTGATACCTACATTTGTGGCTCGAATAAAGGTGGTGTGGACACTTATACTACATTTAATTTATGTAATGTAAAATCATCTTTTCACCTCCATCTCTTTAAAAAAAAAATCATACCCATACATCATACAGAGTGAGGAAATTATTATATGTGAGCCTGATTAGCAGCTGCAGAGCAACTTTTCCTTTGTGTGAGTTGATGCAGATATGACAGGCTCCATGAATGAGATCAGTCATAGGTTTCTCATTGAGCCTCTGTCCTCGTCCAAGTACGACAGGTTGCTGGCTCTGCCCGTGACGGCTGGGTAAACACAGACGTGAGGGCAGCTCGAGATGCAAGCACACCTGGCTGATGGACGCATCAGCCAGCACAATCAGGAAGTCATATTCAGCTCGAAATGCAAGCACACCTGGCTGATGAACGCATCAGCCAGCACAATCGGGAAGTCATATTCAGGAGTGTAATACAAACCTTAGGTGAGATAGTTAAGCACTTTAGAGTGAAAACAAAAAACATTTATAGTATAACACATGTAAGAAGTGTGAATCTTCCCATTTAATCCTTCCCATTTAAACCACAGATCAGATCAGTTCATACCTCTGCTTTTATTTAGAGTGGATAAATAACAAAACCGAGATAAGTTTTTTTCTTTTTTTTGCCACAAGTCTGATCTCTTTGATAATGAAAAAAAAATACACCACGTCACTACTGTGATGTATATCCAAGTTCAGTTGCTGCACTGGACTTTCCTTTATTATTACATTTCACCAGGCATGGTGAAGACTATGCTGTATATAGTATAGGATGTAAATGATATATAGTCTTTGTGTTAGAACTGTTACGTATTTACTTCTAACTTAAAAATAATTAAACAACAGTACAATTTTTTTTAAAAATAGAGAGAAAAGTGTTTCAAGATCCAAAGATTTAATTTACCCCTGAATGCACATAAACATATCCAACATTGAAAATACCAACATATTTGTTCTTCCTATTAATAAAGTTTATGCGGAGGCGAAATCTATGGAAGCTCGTTTTCGCCACTCAAAAAAAACTTATTTTAATTTCAATTTTTATTTCATTTTTAAATTTTTAATTAGGTTCCAAAAGTCTGAGTTATCAATGGGAAAAAATTCAGTGGCAGTAATAAGCCTCCATAGAACTGATGTGAGCTGAGGGGAGTAGTTAAAATATTTCAACTTTACCAAAAAGTTCACTTCATGCTACATGACCTCAGATTCTCCTCAGTGCCGATAAGAAATAAAAGACAAACTTGAGGTAATCTCGAGCTGTATAGTTGAACTTTGCTTTGAAACAGAGACAGGAAAAAGGAGAAGGTTTAGATGAACATGAGTAAATGTTTGGGACATTATGTTAAGTTCTAAATTAATGTACTGTAACTTGATTCCTTCTCATCCTGCTGGTTGTTAAGAGTGAATGTTCATGGGTTTCCAGCTATATTCTCTGCAGCTGGTGTGAACACAACATTTCAGACATTAGACATTAGTGATTAGTCAGTGGTGCAACTACCACAAAAGACCTCTATGTGATATGGTTTGGTTTTGTTAAAACACTTGCTACTGTCATCTTCTGACTGCTGCTTGTATGATTAAGAGGAAAAAATGATCTCCTCCTCTTGAAAAGTAATTTATGAGAAAAAAAATTTTTTTTCCAAAAATAAAGGTCACTGAATGACTAAACAGGAGAACCAGTTCAGCTCTTTTAAACTGAAACTACAGTCACTCAATTTGGATTTCCTGTTTCAGGCACCTACATTCACACCACCTCCTTCAAAGCCCTTAACAGGTACCTCATACTTCCTCGCTACGGGCCTAAAGCTGTGCAGACAGCGATGGATGAGGAAACTTTGTGTGTTGAGGACAAATGAGCAATTTCAGTCACTAAAAGATGATTCACTATCAGAGTTGCTGCCGGCAGCGTCTTGGTCCTCCGAGGTCTTCGTTCCTCCGTCGGGCACGGGGGCATCAGGTGTGCTGTGGTCAACAGAGAACAAGTCACATATTGTTTGTCAGTTTATCAGAAAACTGGTAATAACCAGAACAGTAATTTAAAAAAACACTCACTCAAGCAGATTGGGATCCAAACCCTCCATGACCATTTTATTCCGTATGGCCATCACCGGAACCCCCTGTGGCACATTAAACATCACATTAAGGCACAAAACTAAACCGTTACGCAGGTAACCACAGCAGCAGTAATAATAACTCACCACTTGAACCATTTTCAGGTATCGGGCATAGCGCGGGTCTTTGGCCACCGTCATGATGTTCTCTGCAGCCGCTTCTGCTTTTTGCGTCGCTGAAGCTTCTGGTGTGGTCTGAGCAGGCTGCAACAAAACACATGCACAGAAACGAAGGCAGAGTGAAGCGGTTTAGATGACAGCAGATATCCTGACAGGTTTTACATTTTCATAGTTTAAGATATGTTTTTAAATCAGGTGATACAATTTTGGAAGTACCTGGAAACATACACATTTCATCACTTTGTTTAGGGGCGTAGTGCTACCTGTTTATTTCTTTAAGGGACCATGTACTAAATATATTAGTCACATGAAAGCAAAAGATGCTTTGTATTAGATTTAGCTACTAGCTACAACTGTCCATCTGCAGGCCCTGGGCAGTTAAAAACCAGTGAAATCACCAAATAACAGATATGCACATGATGAAATACCAAATAAATATGTGCATAGACACACATATAATAAAAAGCAAATAGATTTTGCAAAAACAAAAAGAAAATTATAATGAAATTAATTCTCAAAATCCTTTTTTTATCCAAATCATGAGAGGAGAATCTGTGCAAATCTGCAAATCCTTTGGAAGCAAATTCCAAGCTTTATTTTCTCTGTTAGGGAAAGTAGACTGTAAAAAAGTGGTGCCTTGCTCAGGCACGCTACAGTGGCCCCTTGTGGTGGACCCGATCGCTCTGCAAATTTGCTCAGAGCATTTGATAACTTTTTGAAAGGTGAATGCTAACTTAACAGCAACTTGCTCAAAGACATTACAATGTACATGCAACACTCCCAGCAACAAGATCATAAAAAATGATTGGTGAATACACTAAACAGCAACGGTCCTATGATGGAGCCCTGTGGGATCTCATAGTACAGGATTTCAGTGATGATATTTAGCTTAAATAAATCTTCCACTGTAAGACCATCTCCTTTGGCATTCAGTCATTCATCACACCTTTCTCTACTTAAACAGGTCCCTTTTCCCCTTTTCCAGAGATTTGTTGCCCCCCCCCCCCTCTCATCTATTCTCTTTTGTGGTAGAATAATGCATGAAGTGTTAACTGTAAAAAGTAAGTGTGCAACAATACACAAAATTCACGGTTCGGTTCGATACTTTGGTGTCACGGTTCGATATTTTTTCGATACAAAAAAAATGTTCATGCCTTTTTAATTTGTCATTTATTAAAATTATAAATATATATTTTAACTCAAAAGTACAGTTTTTAAATTTAATGTTGCTGAAACAACAAAGGGATAAAAAAAAATCTGATTGAGGAATCACTCATCTTTGGAAAAGAGAGTTTATTACAGAGAAATGGCTCTTTCCAAAATAAAAGCTATACTATACGCTTCTTGTTTGTAGCATCCGTGCTTGTTGTTTTTGTCTGCTTCCACTTGTCTTTGCACTAGGATGCTGTTGGAGTAAATGTGCAGTCATATTCGTTGTGTTCCCACTAGTGACTGTCAGCGTTAATCTCGTTGAAATGCGTTAAAGCCACAACACGGCAAATCTCTGTTAACGAGCTACCGCGGATCGCCCCATGCGTGGGGCTGGACGGCGTCAACACGTTAATGAGTAACTGCACTAACACACTAGCTCCCACCAATGTAATTGAGCATTGCGTGGCACATCCGACATATGTTTTACTTTAGTCCATGACGCGCTTACCTTCAGGGTCATACGTCACATGAAAACCAAAATAGTTCCAAACGCCAGATCTGAATGAGGGTGGGGGAGGTTCAATTTGCCATGTTGCAAGGAGAGCTTAACTTCTGTCTCGCTAGCTTGCCCTGCGCTCAGTGAATCTGCGTTCAACTACTCCACCTAGGCTGCACTGTCGAGCGCAGATCCAGTCAGCGCTCAGCACAGACAGCATCGTCAGAAGGAAAGTTGATAAAATTAATTAAAAAATTTGTATTGTTCGATACATATGCGTACCGAACCGAAAGCACTGTATCGAACGGTTCAATATCGATACGAGTATCGTTGCACCCCTAGTAAAAAGATAAATGTTTTGTCTTTAAATAAAAAAGTTTGACTTTTCCACAACATGTTTCTGCAAATGTTTCACAATAAGAGAAATGAAAGCCTATAAAGGTTTTCTGTTTGAGGTCCTCTTTGCAAGGGATCTTTCAAATAACATTTATGCTCTTTTCATCATCTCATTTACCCTAAACTATCTTCATGTGGCTCTTTTTTAAAATTGCTCCACTGGTAGATATATAAATAATACAAGTGGGAGATTCCTGCTTTGAAGTTCTTTCATTTTCACTTCAGTAACAGAGGTGGAGGTCATCAAAACCACTACAATTTGACAAATTATATTCCCAAAAAGAAAAAACACCAAAGTTTCATTTGTCTTCAACTACTTCAGTTTTTTCTCTTTACTGGCTCTCTTGCATTAAAAGAGCTACTCTGGAAACAACTGAACTTCAGCCAGATAAAGCTCCATGGAAAGATTCCCTTTCTTCATCTAGAGGAAGAAAAACAAAAACCACATGTGGTGGGACATCATCCCACTGTAGTCAAAACAGTGGAAATTTTTACTTGAATGTCTGGACAACAAATACAAAAGAGAAAAGCTGCTCTGGCTCCCATCGTGTCAAAAATATATTAGAGGAGCCTCTCTCAATGTGGGATTGTCAAGTTGAAAATGGACTAAACAGGTCAGATATTAAGTTCTAATTAGGTGGTCTTGGGGGTGCTTTGAAACCTTTGTCTGCTCACAGGTTTATTTTTAAAACTGTCAAAAAAAATCCTCGACTTTGCAGTTCAGCGAAGCTGGATGGAGCTATGTTTCCATGTGTACGAGTTTGTGTATCTACCTCTTCTTGAGGCGCTGCTACTGGACCATCGATTTGGCTCTGATTGGGGATGATGGGTCCATTGGCCTGTGCAGTCTGCTGCTGCTTACAGAGTCCTTCGACTGTGACGTCCTCCAGTCCAGGAATGGAAGACAACTACACAGAGCACAATATTGCTCCATAAATATCAAGCAAATTGACATGAAATTAAGATAATGTTGCACTGCAGCCTGCAGAGGCTTCAGAACTCACCTTGGCCTCCAAAATGCACAGGCTGGTTTCTATCTGCTGTATGCGAAGAGATATGTTTGCAAGTTTCTGGGGGAAGATGTTATACAACAGTTCAGGATTTAAGTGTTACAGACATTTTTTGTTTCATGACGAGAACAGAAGAAAAATAAAGATAAACAAACCTCTTCACACACTGTGGAAAAGCGGTTAAGGAAGCGGACAGTGTGTGCAACAAATTGATTGAGATAGGCAACAATTTTTCTCTGCTGGATCGCAGGAACCTGAAGGAAACACAGGAAAAGGAATTTAAGGTAGAAGGAACATAAGTGTAATATAACAAGGAAATGAAACAACTCCCAGTCCAATCTCCCCTTAAAGCAACTTCTCCTCCCTAGGCTGCACACATCTTCTTTCCCCTGCTCCTTTTAGGTGTCGGCACATCAGATCATTCACCTCCACTTCACCCTGCCCTGAAAATCATCCTCCTTCACTTCATCCATGAACCCCCTCTGTGGTCTTTCCCTTTTGCTCCTGCCAGGCAGCTCCACGTTTAACACCGTTTGTCCAATATATCCCTCCTCTGCACATCCAAACCATGTCCGCCTTGTCTCCAGGTCCACCCTGATCACTCCCAATCAAAATCTGAACATTTTCATCTTTTTAACAACTTCTTTAGTAGTGCTGTCTCCAAACGATATATATGCCATTTCATATTTTATTGTTATGTTTTGCTTTCTTTTTATGTTCTCATTTTCTGTCTTTTATAACCTTTTAATCAGTTTTTTGTGAAGTATCTTGCTTTTAAACGTGATGCAAAAATATTTTTATTATTCTTGTGAAAAAAAATAATGAGTAGAACAAGTTTAACATACTGACAGTCATTCACAGGCAACTTCAAATGCTGAATGCAAAATATACCACTTATATTTCACAAGAGCAAAACAGCATTTTAGATTAGCTAATATTGCCCAGAACGGTTAATAAAATAAAAAGCATCCCTACCCGAAAAACAGTTATTTATACAAAAGACAGACATTTTCACTTCATAGATTTATTTTAAACAAAACTGTTTTAAAAAAGATAAGCGTAAGTATATCTCTTTGCAAAGGTTAAATCTGTTAACCTGGAAGATCAAGTGTAGAAACAACATATATTCACTTCAGAAAAAAAAAAATCCCACATTTATCAGGGAAATTGAACTACAAGCGCTTGCGACAGTCATATCTGTTAATGACTTACAAGCTATAGGCTTCTATCACCGATAAACAGCCTTTGTGTTATCTTACTTCTTAAACAAAACATATGTCAAGCAGCTCTGCTTGTGCCTGCTTTCATTTCCTCACCAGCTACTCAAATAGCTATGTTAGCTAACTAGTCAACGCCAACCTTGGTAAGGTCGACTCCAGAGCCCACGATGGGCAGCCCGTCCTCGTCCATGTTGGATGGCTGAAGATTAAAGTGCACTTTCAAATTCAGCAGCAAGAAATTTCACTGCAAAAAAGACCGAAAACAGGTTATTAAAACATTTACATATGTGAAACGGTTCACGTGACTCTGGGTTGCGTGATCACGTCCTGACGTCACCAACTGCGTAGCAGAAGTCTGCCTCGAAGTCGCACTTCAAAAACCCTCGAGCCTGTATTTTTTTTAACCCTGTATTTTTTCTTGTTCCCCGCTTTACCTAAATTATATGCACTGTCAACCGCCATGTTTGTATTTTTCTGTAAATTGTTTGTGTTAAAATAAAGTTAAGAGGGGGTGGTGGGTTGGGTGTTACTTCAAAGTAAAAGTTGAACTTTTGCTACATTCGGAGCTAATTGTAATTTAGCCATGAAAATATCATTGTTGTATAGAATTTGCATTTATTTAGTTATTTATTTATAGGTTTTTGACAACAAAAAATAAAGAACAGATTATAGGAGGCAAGCAAAACAATGAACTCAAACAATGAGGTCTTCATTATCAGATAATGTTCATGCTTTTTAAATTAAAAAAATCTCAGTTAAAAGAATGCTTGGAGTTATATTGTTGCAAATTTTAATTCTTTAAATCTTGCTTTGTTAGATAGGAGATATTTTTACTTTATTACGGTCTACTGTTTTGTTTTTGTTTTTTTTACATGGACATGAATATCGTGGTACTGACTGCCAAGAACAAGGGTGATGTACAGAGCTGTAGTAACTACAGAGGGATAAGGCTGATGTGCCAAACCGTGACGCTATGAGAAGGAATTCTACAAGCTAGGTTAAGAAGAGAGGTGACGATCAATAAGCAGCAGTATAGCTTCATGCTGGGGAAAGGCATGCAGATGCAATGTTTACTTGTTTACTTACTTTTTAATTTATGTAACATTTGAATTACAAATTTTTTAGGATTTGTAGGATTAGGAAAGTCTGTCCTATCTTGTCTCCCAACTAAAAACAAAACTGTAAGAAATTAATGTCAGCGAGACAAGTCGCCTGTCAGCTTTGATATTTTTATTTTGAAAAGCGGAATCGGAGTATAAGCGTTGAGGAAACGGTGCTTGCGTCCGAACAGCGCATGTTAGCTGCTAACTAAAACAAAACAACTTAACACCTAATTTTCGGCGCCACAAGAGGCACAGTGCACCCATGGAGGTTCTCGACTTTGCAGAGAAAACAAACGGTGGGTACAGTGGCAATCTGAACCAGCTGCGATATAAAGTAAGCTACGTCTATGCCGGTTACACAGTTAGCGGGGGCCGTCTATTTAAAGGAATCGTGATACGCACGATTTAAGCTTTAGCATAAAAAATAAATCAATTATTTTCAGATTTTTTTATTATTCTGTCAAGTATTATGCTTAATTTATTGTCTAAACCATAGGTGATGATATATTTGAAGAATCGCAATTTAAAACTCCTTTTATTAAGGGCGGCCCAGCAATTATTCGGGTTCCCAAGCTTATGGCTGTTTAAATGCAGGGCAAAAAAAATACATATGTGTGCACTGCTTTACCTGAGAAAATTATTACCATAGTAATATATGAACAGCACTGAATTAAATGAATAACTATGTATTGTTATAATGTGAGTTCTGGAGTTTAAAGCTGATTGCTGCCCTCTAAAGACCATTTGTTACATTACACCTTTATGTTTTAGATCCAAGCCTGTCTCTCTCATCCCTCCAACTCCTGGTGCCACCTCTGCAGCTTCTGTCTGCCTCCATGTGGCAGCTGGTGAAGCAGAAAGATGTGATGAACTACCAGAAGCTGCAGGAGTTCGTGTTCACAGTGACAGAGGCGATTCCTGGTCTGATCAGCCACAGGCAGAGAGCCCAGCTCATCCTCGGACTCAGAGCGAGGGTGAGGAGGTAGTCTGGCTGACATGCCATCCATGTATGTTTATTTTGCTACGTTGATTCTGTAAAAACTCAGTTTATTGATATTTCAGTTGATACTGGAGCTTTGCAAAGGCTCGACACGCGGTTCTGTTGATTCTCAAGCAATCCAGAGCCATTTGGACAGACTCCCAGTAACCTCTGAAAACACAGATGTAAGTACGTTAAAGAGAAGCGGATAAAATAAAGTGTGCCCAGTACTTTTTTCAAGATATCACTTCAATTTGTTGCAGTATAGGGATGCAGAGGTGAAAACAACAGAGTCTACTTTTGTCGCTCTGGTTCAAAGTCTGCTGAAAGATCCAATTGAGAGGGCATATTTTTTTCAGGTAGGACATATTTTAGTATTTCATATCTTTGCTTGAAAATGCTCAGAATAAAAATAACATCTTATTATCTTACAGGAAGTGTTTCCAGTGGAATACGGTCCACAGTATGACTCAGCACTAAATATGTTATTATGGAATCTGCTCTCCAAGCTGGAAAAGTTGCTTCCAGTACCAGACCTAAAGCAGGTATTCAGTCAGATAACATAATTGTTTCAGGTGATTTTCAGCGGGTTATATTAACACCGTGCTGTGATTACAGACTGTAGCCTGGCTGGACTCAGCTCCTTCTGTTTTGGGGGAATGCATTCAGTTGTCAACTGAAGATCTGAGCTTTATCTACCAGCACTACAAAAGTTCAGGACTACTGAAAATGGCATGTAAGTAAAATGGCCTGTATTTGTATAGCGCTTTACTTTAAGTAGAGCTGCAGCAGTTTTCACAATCAACAAAACTATGAAGCAAGATGTTGCATCATCACAGCTGGGTTAAAAAGTCAGATTTAAAGTTGCATAATTAGTTCTCACTTCTTAATATTTCAAGATCAGTGGATAAATTCATAGCAACAGGTTTGTAGTGTATAGTAATGCACTTTATCAGAACTTTCTGAGATATAATGCTTATCTTAACAGGCCCTGTTTAAAGACCTATTAGTGTCATATTACCTAATGAGGTCTTTGCCCTCTCTCTGCGGGCTTACTTATGGTTCTTAGAGTTTTTAGAGGTAGAACAGGAGGTAGAGTCTTCGGCTATCAGGCCCCTCTTCTGTGCAACCAGCTCCCAGTTTGGATTCTGAAGACAGACACCCTCTCTACCTTTAAGATTAGGCCTAAAACTTTACTTTTTGATAAAACTTATAGTTAGAGCTGGATCAGGTGACTCTGAATCCTCCCTTAGCCCTTGATTTTACTCTGTTATGGACAGGAACAGCTAAAGCACCAACAGCCGAGCACTCATTCCTGTTTTACTTGTTAAAAGCCCACTTAAAGTCCACCTGGTATGCATGTATAGTTGGTGTATTTCAATATGTGAGGATCACATCTCCATGTGACCCTCACAATCACCATGTGATGACGAGATTATGTCAAATAGACCCTAGTGGACTCATTGTGATGCAATAGGCTTAGACTACTGATTTGCTTTCCTTAACTCAACTGTGACAGCACTGACAGCACCTCCCTCAGCCTATTTCTGCGTGAGGTTTCATTCTGTTAAATACTTTTTTTGTCCTCATAGGTGGTTGCGTGATTGTCAGTTTCTTTCTAAAATTGGAGGGTCTTTCCATCACGATATAAAGCACCTCGAGGCGACTGAATTGGCGCTATATGAATAAAATTGAATTGAATTATCTAAAGTCTAAACACCCACCAAATCTCCAGCAAACCATTTGGGGTTAGGTGATGTTTCACTCACATGCTAAACAAATAAATTTCCAGAAACTAGAAGTTGTTATTTTTCAAATGAAGTCTCCTTCATACATTTTGGCCTTGCAGTTATTCATTGATGGGATTTTCCATTTGGTTTTTCTAAACGGGGAAAATTCCACGAAGAGAGGTGAATATTAACTCAACCTTAGCTCAAAGTGGGATAGGGGTGACCTGATGGCTGTTAAGTGACAAAGCTATTTTAGTGACATTTCCCAATGTAATAAATTATATTTTTAATCTTTTTTATGCCAAAAGAAATTAAAAAACACAAGTTGTATAAACAAAACTAAATGTATTTAATCCTCTTCTTGTTTGCCATGTTTGAGTGAATTGTGTATTACAGTATGTTAACATAATTTTGACACCAAAATATAGAGGTGCTCGTGACTTCCTAATGCTTTTATCAGCAAACTTTAAATGACAATTTCTGAGAATATATCTAAGTGACCTCTCAGGTTCAATGTTTTGAAGAGAAGGTTTGAGAGAAAAGGTTGAATTGGCTTGGAAATACAATCAAATACATCATATTACTTTGCATATAAATGAACTCAGTCATTCCATATTCTATTGTATATATTTATGTTTTAGACTGATACCACAAAATGATAGTGTAACCAGGCTTTAACCTACTTTGATTCCCACATATTTGTAACACGTCAACTAAATGCATACAATAGATGTTGTGTTCATCGCACCTAAATACATTTGTGTGTGTGTGTGTGTGTGTGTGTGTGTGTGTGTACTATTATTAGTATACACTTTATACTCTTACTTCCTAGTACCTGAGTCTGTTTTGATTGGCACTATATAAATAAAATGAATTGAGAGATTTTGTTCACATATGTCTCTCTCTGCAGTAGCTGATGAGTCTCTTTTTTTGCAGACGGTCCTTCTTCCACTGCTGGTAACTCCATCATGTCTGCATTATCAATCCCTCCCTCACAAAAGACAAACGTATCAGTTGGACTGGATGCCATCCATAACTACGCTAACGTATTGAACCCAGTCACTTTAGTGGGAACCGACCAGTACAGCGTGGTCACCGTTTACACTGAAGTGGAAGTCGGAGCAGCTGAGGTGGATGAGCAAATGATGGAGTCGGCTGCAGTTCAAGTTCAGACAGATTTCTATGAAGAGGAGATAGTGGCTGTAAGTGCTGATAGCGCTGGCGACGAAGAGGCTCCTGCTGTGAGGGCTGAAGAAACGAGTGAGACTGTGGATGTAGCGAAAGCTTTGGAGACTTTGACGAGAACCTTTGCATTAAGGGGGCAAGACGTACTTACAGAAAAGAACAACCAGTCATCCATAAATGACGATCTTGAACCAGGAAAGGGAACAGATGAAGGAAAAAGCCATGAAGGGCTTGAAATAAGTGACCAAGTGACTAAAGGGAAACGGGAAGTCATTGCAGAAGAAGTGACAGATGAGTTCCAGCTTGGAGGCATAGAGAGAAATATATGCGCAGACCTGAAAGATAATTCATTTTCTGCTCAAGAAATAGCAGAAATCCAGACCGAAATGTCGGAAGCACAGGAGTCTGACACGTCAGGAAACATGCGCAGATCCACACGTCTGCAACTAAAGACTTCGCCGAGTTGCAACGAGACGTGTAAAATAAAAAGGACAAGAGAAAATCCTGAAGAACCAAAAATGTACAAAAACATTATTTTCATTCCAAATATCTTTAGCAGAAATGTACACCTTATTAGAATAACAAAAAAAAATCAGATTATTTGGTTATGTTGATCTTGGGTATAGCTATTATAATCTAAAGATGCACTTTTTAATTCATGCTCATCCATTTCAGTATGGTTAAAATATTCCTGGTCACGGTTAAAATAATATAAGAAAATAGGTCATTACTGTCATGTCTGGTTGGTAAATGTGAAGCTACACCCAGCATCCTTAAGCGCTTGCTCTGGATCGGTGCAAATGTTAAAAAATAAATAAATCTGCCCGTCAGCACTGCTAAACCTCACTAATTAACATGTTATAGGCTGGACGATTCCCTGGTTTTAACGTCTTTGTGCTCACTGGAGCATATTTAGTACACAGATATGAGCAGCTTCTCATCTGCAGATCAAGTTTGCATGCAGTCATCGTGGACATGAATATCGGGGTAATTTTGAGCTTTTAATGATTTCCTTGATTTGTTCTTTTTCCAAAGTGAAATGATTGTACAGCATACATATTTAATTACTTTAAAAAGCAAGAATTTGTTGTACTTGTGCACCCAATTCTTTAAAAGCTCGAAATTACCATGATATTAATCCCTATGATGACAGCATATAAACTGCTGTATCCCAGGACAAGATGACAGACTTTGAAGGGATTTTTATGTACTATGCACTTTATGTACTTTAGCATTCTGATTAAACATTTATGGTTTCCTGTTACACTTTCTTCTACTTGTTCATATCACAAAAATGTGAAAAATCTGAGAGATTTTCCTTTAAATATTGTGACACAGTGTTTTGATTTCTCCAGGAGCACTGCTGATGGATCAGCTGCCCCTTCTGTGATAGCCATCAAAGGATCTGACAAAGGTGATGTGATGTCAAGAAGAAAACAATGTTGAACTTCTTAAATAAATCCACTCATGTATCTGTTCCTTGATTTTAATGCAGGAGATTCACACGAGATGACGTCTATCATCTTCACCTGCTCGCAGTGTCCTTTCCATAACTCGGATGAAAACAGTCCTCCACACTTCCACATGCAGAGCGTTTGCAAAGAAGCATACAGGACTCTCTCAGGAGTTAAATTTACACCATCCCCCTCCAGCACAGATGAAATATTTACATCTATTAAACTTTTTCCCAGAGGAAACTCTGAGGAGAGAAAAGCAGAGCAGCCAGAGCAAAGCAGAGAGAGTGTTTCTCAGTTGCACGGCCGTCAGAGATCACTCACATGCGAAACATGCGGTAAGACGTTCACCCGGACATCGGATGTCAGGAGACACCAGCTCACTCACACGGGAGAGAGACCGTTTCACTGCTCGCAGTGTGACCGAACCTTCCAGCACTCGTGGGATCTGGCGAAGCACGAGAGCAAACATCACGGCGTAGCCATCTCCTTCACCTGCCAGGTATGCAGGAGCTCCTTCGCTAACCTGAGGGCGTTGACTGTCCACCATAAAAAGTCTCACTCGCAGGAGAGCCAGCTGCCTCAAATGTGCTCCATCTGCAGTCAGAGTTTCCCGACTCCGTCTGAGCTGCTGGAGCACAGGAAGTCCCACGTCACCGCTAAACGCTACATCTGCCAGCAGTGCGGCGAAGGCTTCGACACCCTACTCGCACGCTCTCAGCACAGGCAGATGCATCAGGTGAAGCGTCAGTTTAAATGTCCACATTGTGAGAAGACGTACACTCGGAGGTCTGACGTTAAGAGACATCTGTCCACCCATACTGGGGAGCGACCCTACCAGTGCAACCAGTGCAGCAAACGATTCTCGCTGCGCTTCATGCTCATCAAACACCTCCGTGTTCACACGGGTGAGCGCCCTTTCCAGTGCTCCCACTGCCCAAAGAGGTTCACCTTGGTGTCTGTGCTGGCCAGACATGAGAGGATGCACACCGGGGAGAAACCCTTCCTCTGTTCTCAGTGCGGGAAAGGCTTTTTGTCACAGGGCGAGCTCTCAAAACATCACAGGTCACACGTGGACGACAGGCCGTACTCCTGCCCTCAGTGCGGGAAGCGCTTTAAGAGCAAGAAAACACAGCAAGAGCACATCGTCTCACACACTGGGGCCCGCCCCTACCCCTGCACTTACTGCGGGAAGGGCTTCACCAAACCCTACGCCCTCACCAGACACAACCTGATCCACACAGGAGAGAGGCCATTCCCCTGTGGACACTGTGAGAAGTCCTTCCTCACCCTCAGTGAGGCTCAGTTGCATCAGAGAATCCACACGGGGGAACGCCCGTATCCCTGCAACACATGCGAGCTGAAGTTCAAGAGCTCATCCGAGCTGGCACGACACAAACGCAGCCATTCTGGCTTAAAGCGGGTGAAGCCGCGCTGCGAGCGGTGCATGATGACGTTCGCATCTAAGGCCAAACTGAAAAAACACATGGAGACACATAGAGACGAAGGAGACACAGTGCAGTCTGTAGAGACCAAGGAATGAAACTTGTAACAGAAACTCCCAGAGGTTAAATAAGTAGGGTGGGGAAGGAGAAGGAATATTTTGTTTAGATGTTTAGATTTATATAATTGGAGAAAATATATTTTATGCAGATCAGGAGCGAAACAGGCCCTCAGCTTGTCAGCAAATTGGATTAAAAAAAAAAAAAATTATATTGGCAGTTTTACTCTTTTCACTTCACAACAAGGAAATCATATTCAAAATACTTTCAAACGGAAGATGAACAAAAACTGCTCCTGTAGTGGACTTTTTCACTGCATGTACTGCCTTTTTCCTTCTTTGTGTTGCCATTGTACTATTGCCCACCTGAAACCAAAGATACTACCAGCAGGTAGTAAAGAAAGGAAAAACATGATTTTCTAGACTTCTTGGAGAACTGTTGTCATCAAACATTAAAATGAGCATCATGCAATAAATCATCCTTTTATGATGTGTGTAATGTTTCCTTTTTTTGCTGAGAAAGTGTTTTATGTTGGATTGCATTCAACTTTAAGGCCAAACCAAGCAACCTCAAAGGGTTACATAGTTCAGTGTTGTGATGAGTAACAATGACAGGAAATCAGAGGTTGATATCTCGGCGGCTACTGAATGCATTATTGTGAAATGTGGTCAGACATGCACATCCTCCCCTCAGGACTATTTATAATACCTGTACAGAAACAGGTTTTCTGTCACCGCCATTGCCTTACATCTGTAGTGATAATTCTGCTCATTTGTAAGTCTTAGCGCTTTGTTGCGGTAAGTTTCTTCCATTTAGGCCTTAATAATTGTAAGACGATAAAAGACCTGAACATACACAACATGCAAAATGCATGGACGGATTATGAAAGTTTAGGGCCTCTGGGCACATGTATCCTCCTCACTCATCCCAAAGAGAAGCTGAAAACCACGCAGAGTTTTGGTAGTTTTGTCTCGCCAAATAGACATTTTGCTGATGTTCTACAACATTTTGTCTCATTACAGTCATGTTTTATCCTATGTTGGATCTTTGTGTATCATTTGATTGTTTTTTTTTAATCTCTTTATCTTTCTGTGTCTCGGTTTTTGTTTCATATCTCATTTTGCACCACTGATCATAAATGCACCCTCTCCAACTTTTCATTGCTCTTTGAGGTCCTTTATGTTCTGTTTGTCTCTTCTTCTTTCTTTTTTTTTTTGTTTGATTTTGTGTCTCTGATTCAGTTTTGTCCGATCACCATCTCGTTTTGTGACATACACGAGGGGCCCATTTAGGACCTGCAAGCAAGCCTTAATTTGTTTAAATGTGGAACTCTTGCGAAAACGTGCTTGGTGACATTTGGTGCTGTTGAGGTGACCTTGAAAAATGATTCTGCATGTCAGGTGACGTGTCTTCTTTATTTGTGTCGGCAGTTCACATAAAAACCAAATGACTCATTGATCTGATGGTTATGGTGTTATAAAGATGATAAACATAACCTAATTTCCTTCACACAGCTCCAGCTGTCTGTGGTAAAAAGCAGTCTGTCCCCTTCATTTTCTGGTAGAGTTCCTCATACACTAACTGAGAACTAATGGTGTTCGGTGTCTATTTTAAAACATTGGAAAATTTTCCATAACTTCATGTAAATTTTCTGCTATGGTACAAGGCTGTTGTGAAGTTTGTGAGGATGCTCTCTGCATCGATGCAGTCCAGAAGAACTCTTAAGAACACAATCTCAGACTGTGAACCGCCTCCATGCATGTAGCCTCTTTGTTCTTGTGAGTGTCATGGGTGGGTTAACACAAATTAAGTGTGGCAAAAGCCTGATCCCTCCCATAAATCTGATTTGCCCTCCTGTGCACCAAGAAAAATATATGCTGTCATATCAATGCAACAGTGGATAATGAAATTTCCTTGGTCCCTGTTTTTGAGCTTCTTGAATATTTGGGGGTTTCTGGTTTAGTATTTTTGATGTTGTGGTCTCTATATTGTGTATTATTATGTCTTCTGGTTATAGTGTTATATTTATTTTCCTGTGCTTATGATGAATCCTGTTTTCTGTGCCGTTAGTTTTCTGATTGCTTAGTTGATTGATTGGTTAATTCCCTTTTGGTATTCCTCTTCTATTTTTTTTAGTCTCGTCTCTTTCTGTTTTAACTTCTGTCTTTGTGTCAAGTTTCCATATGTTAGTGCTGGTCTCAGTATTAGTGTCTTCCTGTTATATTTTGATAGGCCTATGTGCACCGTGTTCCATTTTGCTTTCCCTGTCTCTTTAGTCTGTAATTAGTGTAAGCTTTATAACTTCCTGTTTCCTCATTACCCTCGGTGTATATATTGTCTCAGACTTCCCTCGCTCCTTGTTGTGTTCTCCCTCTAGCTGTGTGCTGTTTGTTCTGTGTGGGTAATATAAAGTTTTTATTGATTTTGACCTTGACCTTTGACCAATTTTCCCAAAATTAAATCAGTGTTGTATCTACCGTCACATAAAATTTGACAATGATATCTTGAAAACTGTTGATGTTCGAAAAAGCATGTTCAAAAGGAGAACTGTATATTATTACATTATAATATATTGCTATATTAGTACCATTTATCTCTGTTGAGATGTTGTTGTACCTAATTTATTTATTTATTTATTTTTAATTATACTGTTTTTTGTTCTTGATTCTTTTCTTCTTTTTCTCTCTCTCTCTTTTCCCACCAAAAAAACAGAAAAATTGGCAAGCAGAGCCGCGTCTTAATGCATGCTCAATCATCCAGGTAAGTAAATCCCAAAAGGTTCGTTCTATACATCTGGATGTAGCGTTTTCAGTTTTCAGGAGCGTTTTCAGGAGAATCTTCTTCAGTCTCAGCTGACTGCAGGTTTCCCCAATCTTAGAAACAGGACATTTGCACAACAACTGAACCTAGTCTACTCAATGAACAATGGTCTGTGAGGTCAGTTCCTTTATCATTAATATGCAAATTGCCATGACCATTGATTAAGCAGATTCACATTATAAGGTCAGAAAATGATCATAATTAACTTTGATCAAGTGATTTTAAATGAAGTAAATTTAGAAATTGTTTACATAACACTCTAAGTGACTGACCTGGAACTTTCTTACTTGCATGTGGTGTTGTCGTCCTTTAGTAATGGCATATATGATGCTTACTTTGTGGTCCAGACCATCCAAAAAGCTTCACTAGTGGTGAGTGAAATTCTAGCACTACTTAGCAGATGCTGTCTGTGTATCTGTGCTTTGTACCGCTAAAGTTAAAGATTGCTAGCATTAGCGCATATTATAGCACTCCACTCTTTCATCCTAATATGGTCACTTCATGGTTCAAAAACACAACAAAGTGATAGCTAAAATGCTAACACTAAAGAGTCGAAATATGTAAAAGCAATGAGTGACATCTGCAGCTGAGCATTAGAGCCGAATTAAGGAAAAAAATCTTAGTGTTCATTTTGAGAATACGGTTGAAAGTTTTTTGAGAAAAAAGTCCAAATGTGGAGATTTAACCTGATGTTCTAAGTCAAACAACTGCCATGGTTGCTATATGCTCTACAAAGTGTCTCATGTAGATGAATTTGTGAAACAACTTGATTAGCCAGCTTAGCTAATGTTAGCAATGTACATTTTCTAATCTTCAGGTTTCTGTTGCCATACCTCCCCTGTGTTCCGCGCTTCATGTTTAGACACTCATGTCTTCATGTTTGATCTCGTTTGGTCCTACTTTTCTCTCGTCTGTTTTGTTCTTATATCTGTTTCTCTGACTGCCCCAGTGTCAAGCGTGTCTTCTTCTCAGTGTGTTTTCTGTTTTATCGTGCTAGTCTCTTGCCCTGTGTTCAGTGTGTTCAATTTTGCTTCCCTCATCTCGTTATGTCTATTAATTCCAGCTTTGTTCCCCTGTGTTTCCACTTCCATATATCACCCTGATGTGAATATAAGATAAGATAACTTTTATTAGTCCCACAGGTGGGAAATTTGTTATATAGTGTCAGTTTTCCTTTGTCCTTTAGTGCATTTTTTGCCTGTCTGGCTCCTTCTATGTTCCAGGTTTTAGGTTTTTCTATGTTCTTTATGTACCACACCCTTAGTATTTAATTTCACCCAGTTGAAGTTAGTTACTCTAGTCTCAGCTTACCTTTTGTTAAGATTCAGTTTCAGCCTCTTTATCTGCATTTGGGACTCAAATTTTGGGTCCTCATCCTTACTCCACATGATTTGCGCACCCAGACCGTGATAAGACTTTCTTTCTAATTTCATTATTTCCACTTTATTCTTAAAATAGAATTTCAAGTTTTGACTTGAAAATGAACACTACCGGTAATACTTGTTTTGTTTTGTTTTTTAATCAGTGTGGCCTAGCCCCTCTTTAATTTGGTCTGTGGATAATTCCCAAACAAAGGTATCTGTAAAAGCCTAAACATGTCATGGTCCTGAGTCTGCCGACTCAGTGTTTTGTGTTTCTTTATGCTTTTGTTTATCCTGAGTATGTATTCTGTTATGATTTGCCAGTTGTTAGGTTTCTGTTCTGTGCTTACCCTGGTCCCACTTCTGTGTTCTGTCTATGGCAGGGGTGGGCAATCTCAGTCCACGAGGGCCGGTGTCCCTGCAGGTTTTAGATGTGTCCTCGAACCAACACAGCTGATTTAAATGGCTAAATTAGCTCCTCAACATGTCCTGAAGTTCCCCAGAGGCCTGGTAACGAACTAATCATGTGATTCAGGTGTGTTGACCCAAGGTGAGATCTAAAACCTGCAGAGACACCGGCCCTTGTGGACTGAGATTGCACACCCCTGGTCTATGGTGTCACACTGTCTGTTTGTGAATCTGTCTGTTTAGTTAGTTCAGTGTCCTGTCTGGTTCTCTGTGTCTGAGTTTCCTGTTTTATTCTGAAAGTCCCTGTCTCGTGTGAGTGTGTTCAGTTTACGTTTCCCCTGTCCCGTCAGCTCTGACTTCTCCCAGGTGTGTTGCCCTCCTGTCTCTCATCCCCTGATTACTGCTGTGTGTATTTAAGCCCTGTGTGTTCTCCTGCCTGTTGCTGGTTCGCCTGTGTTCCACGTTGTCCTGTCCTTCATCTGCGGCTCTCTGCCGCGCTCCCCGTTTCTTATGTTCTCAGGTTTGTTATTTCATTTTTCCAGTTTAGGTTTCTTTAGTTCCCTGTCATCCCTCACTGCCTGTTTGCCACTACACCACCCTGTAAATAAACATCACTCGAATCATCAGTCATCACCTGCATTTTGGGTCCTCCTTTCCTCCAACACCACACAGCTCGCCTCGGCAGCCGTGACAAAACATGTGTCACATTCCTGCGCTCACCACAGATCCCAGGAGATCTGAGATTGGCTGTGTTATGTTTCTCTCTGCGTGCCGATGGCCACTTGGCGTGATGGTCGAAAACATGAAAAGATTTATATTTTATAAGAAGTAAGTGGTGTGTAGATTTTTGGCCATTTTTAACATCCTATAAATTACAAAATGTTTGAAGTCACCAGTCAGTCTCACTTTATCCCAGTCCCACTAAAATTTCATAAAAGTAGAACAACATTCAACGATATTCAAATCTTTTTTTTCTTTTTGGATGTAGTCCACAGCTTTTGTAATTTTTTATACTTTGGTAAAAGTATTTCAAACACCAAAACAATTTCTCTAAGATTTAAAGAATTTTTTTTTTTTTTTTAAATCAGCATTAGGGAAACATTATCTCTGCAAAGATTTCTAGGACAATTCAGAGGCTCATTACTAAAAAGGCCAAGGCTCTTCCAGAAATTTTGATTAAAAAAATAAGCCTGTATTATGTAAAAGCACCCTCAACAGGGAAGTTTGAAATGATGTGTAATAATAAAAAAAAAAACCAAAAGAAGAAAAAGCAAAACTGGCTTGGATCCCAAACTGCCACAAAATGAGATCAGTCTTCTCCTGCCACTTTTTCTGGGTATTCCCTCTCTGTCATCATGTCAGTATTATGGTTATCCTTATAAAAAGAGGAAGTTAATGTGGTTAATTAACCGAGATGTTTTCATTACCTCTGACTAGGCAGGTAGGTGATTGGTGGAGAGGGCATGCCAAGCAGGAGTCACCAGAATAAAAATGTCCCTGTCATATTAATGGGAGACTAACTGAAGCAGAATAATAGTGGGTGAGGTAGTGGGTTTCTATTTTTAACTTGCCTTTTACTCACTTTATATTTTTATGTTTGTTTTTTCTATTGAACATCATTAAAATACATAAATATCAGTGTTTTTGTGTTACAATAACGCCAGTGCAGTCCTGATGAAGCAGAATAGACTTGTTTGTATTTTTAAAAACAATATGCAGTACCTAAGGGTCTTTTAAGATTTTAAAAATAACATTTTACTGCACTTATCCTGGAATCATTTATTCTACAAATGGAAAACTGTAAAAGTCAAAGGGATGGCTCCTCCACACCGAGAGAGGGTGTGCATTGGCTGATTCTCGGTCATTTCCCCCTGCAATCACCTCTTCTCTTGATCAGGGCAGCGGCGAGCAGGCAGATGTAGGGATGTGACTGTCAGCGGAGGACTTTGGAGGACTGGTGACCAAGCAGGTGGAAAAGACCTTCAGAATAAACAGATAAATAAGGTGGAAACAAGGCAGCTGCGGATGCAGATAACGACTCAACGCGTACCCATCAGTGTGATTTACAGTCCAGTTGGCAATGGTTTTGCTGGTGGCGGATTAATAAACAGTCATAAAGCTTTGGGAGAACGGCTGTGTGTGTTGCAGGAGGACGAGGGTGAAGGCACTGATAGGAGAAAAAGGAGGAGAGAGGGAGAGTGTAACGGAGAGAGAAGTGAGTAGATAAAGCCAGGATTATGAGTGCACTGCCTTACGACTCGCTGTCGGCTCGGCCGAGTCCCAGCAGACAAGCTTTGGACTGGGAGCATGAGCAGCTAGCTGTGCGACGACTGTCTTCACGGAGTCTTGACCTGCTGACTCCGCCTCCTCTTCCTCGTCGACTCTCTGCCATCCCTGGCTACCTGCTGCCTCCATACCAAGGTCAAGAGGAGCAGCTCAGCCTGCAGCAGCAGCAACAGCAGCGTCTCTCCTTGTCCGTGTGCTCAGAAGGCTCCCTGGCGCCCCCTGCTCCTCCACCTGTGGGTGCTGGCCCACCCTGCTGCCATTCCGTGGGAGTCATGCACCTCTTGCGTCTGGGTCTCCTAGCCTTCAGCTGCCTCTTCTGGGCAGCTGGACTGGCTATCTTCACACTGGGTGTGTGGGCTCAAATTTCCCTGGCAGACTACATGATGCTCTCCGCCAACCGCTACCCCAATGCCCCGCTCATCCTTCTGTCCACAGGTGCGGCCATCACAGCATGGGGCTTCCTGGGTTGCCTGGGGGTGGCTGCAAACCTGCCTTGCGTGCTAAGGGCTTACGGCTTCTTTCAGCTTGCTGCACTTGTAGCCGGTTTGGCAGCAGGACTCTCGGGCCTCTTCTACCGTGAAGAAATTGCCGGTGGATTTCGCAGCGGTTTACAGCGAGCAGTGGCGGGCTACACAGAGGATGAAGGCCGTGCTGATGCTCTAGACAGCCTTCAGAGGGCTCTGAAGTGTTGTGGAGCTGACGGTTGGCGCGACTGGCTTGTGTCTGACTGGGCTATCCAGCATATGAACTTCCTGCCCATTGAGAACGGCACCTCGGTGTCCTTGCCCGACAGCTGCTGCGTGAGGCGAAAGGGTTGCAAGAATCGGCCTCTTCTGGCAGATGACGGTGACGGTGTGGCTGCCGCGGGGATCCATCCGCATGGCTGCTTCCGCAAAGTCTTCAGCTTGGTCAATGACAATGTCTTCCATATTGCTGCTACTGTGCTGGGGTTAGCCTTCACACAGATTGGAGGCATTGCCCTGGCTTGTCTGTTAGCCAATAAACTGGCACCGAGACAGCATGGACGTGTAGTAGCACATTAATACTTAATTAATAAGGCTAGCTGGTGGATTGGCAATTTGGGTTTAATAGAGTTGGGAAGTTTGAAAACCCCCAGGAATTTGTAGGACTTATATAACACTAAAAGTTACTCAAACATATGACACGTGATTCTTTGACAAAACAGTCAAAGGTCCAAACTTGTGTTCAGAAATCCAGCACATTGCTTAAATTCCTTCACTGTCCTTCTTTACAGCTAGATGAGGGAAGCTACAGATAGCTGCCAGGGAAGTCAATATGCTCTTTTTCCTCTTTGCATTGCAAAATCGGGCATTTTCCTGAAAAATTTAATACCTTGGGGCTGAGCACTCTATAGATTACCAAACTGATCATTGTGTAGTTAACATTTACTTTAAAATGAAGTATTACAGGAAAAAATGCATATTGCAACTTTAATGAGGTTCTTATATTATCCTTCAGTGGTTTCAGTCAAGTTACTACTTTTGTGCGTCACTTTTCCCTTTGCAGCTGTATTACACTTACTGGCCTCAGCATGAATAATGGAGGTTGTCTTCTCATGTAATGTTTTTTGTGCTACATGCAACAGCGTAGGAACAACTGGGTTTGCGTAACAGACTTCAGATCTCACCCGGTGGCAGTACAGTGAGACATTTTCTCCTTTTTGCTGTATGAATTAATTAAGAAATATTTAAATGATGGCATGAAATAATATACCTCTCTGTGTTACATACTTGATCCTTGGACCTTTTCACCTCTGGCACACCTCAGTCCTAAATGCACAGGAATGTTCACCAGCTGTTTTCCACTTTGATCGTTTAGTCTGGCTGTGCTCACAGATGTTTGTATCTACTTCATTTCGTTTTCCCATCTCAGAGATCACTCTGCGCTGGTTTTGGTGCTTTAAAAAGAGATTAATATTACTGTCTGGTATTTTGTGTTGTTTTTACACCCAGTAGTGCGTACTAATTTCCACTGTGTCGAGAGCTTTGGTTAGAGAGTTTATTAAATTATGACTGCTTTCGATCAGTTTCTTCCAGATGTCACTGTGTTGTTCCAAAGCACATCATTGAAAGGTATGACTAGAAACACGCACTACTGGCATGAAACAACAAGCAACAGCAAAAAGTTGGGTTATATAAACATTTGTCTTGCTCTTCTTCTTAGATTTTTAGCTTAGCATATACTTGTGAGACATATGCAACCTTATAAAGAAAGTATTTCAATAAGATGAATGTGAATGTGTTATATTGTACATGTTTTAGTATTACTATGCACTGAAATTATATGAAACCCTTTCAGCCTTCTCATTATGGTGCATCTCCAAATTTCTTCCTTTTTATTGTTCTTATTAATGTAATATATGATAAACGGTCCCTATTTAATAATGCATAACTGGTATATATGATTACCAGCTCTGCAAGCAAGCATGACCTACACTGTAAACTATTTATGTAAACAATAAACAAAGAAAACACTTGCCTAAATATGGGATATAATGTTGATTGCCACAGTCTTCTACCCTCGATTATGTTAAATGTATAAATTCTGGTAATGAAGAATTCATGCATAATAAACATGTTGTGAAGCTCTTTGGGGTTCTAATGTGTTTTTCTTTCTCTTTAATGTTGATTTATAGCCTTCATCTTTAATGTGGGAACCTTTTGCATGCATTTTAAAGAGCTATAGAAGCAGCTCTATGTCTTTATTCCGTTGGGAAGGTCATGCTGGAGGTGTGCCAGAGCAGGAAATTCTCATTGCATTGAGAAGTAGATCATGGCTGGGACCTCTGGCCACGTAAATCTGAATTATTGCTAACTGAGTGACATCTCATTTCTGCTGTGCACCTGAGACGATGGTGATTAGATCTGCCCTTGAAGGGAGATAACAGAGTGCAGCATATGCAGCATATGCACAGCTGAGGGTGATGAAACAGAGCACCCTGAGCCAGCATTGATTGGTCAATGGAGCACAAAATAATAAATTATGGAAATAGAAATTGTGATCAAGTCTTTCATACTTTACCCCCACATTTACCTTAAAACCAACATCTATGAGTGTTAGATGTAGAGAGACTTTAGGCTATGACCTCTGAACAATGACAACCATTTTCATGACCTAATTATGCTATTGATTAGCCTACATTGTGCTCTAATAAGGTTTCTGTCTGATTAGGCTGTGCTTGTTGTATCCTATTTTGCCCGAGGTTAGGCCATGCCTCCACCTCCAGTTTAATCAAACCAAAGAGGAGCTCTGAGAGAGATTTAGACACCTGAATTCAGACAAACGCCAAACTTTTTATGCTCTATTTCTAGTCCATTTGAATTGAATCAAAGGTCTGAACCCAGCATACACGATTTTTTAACGCCATTGCATGAAATCAAAGGCTCATCGGGTACAAAAATAAATGTCTGCAATGTGTGCAAGTTATGCACATAAACACAACATGAAAAGTAGAAAAATAATCCGTAGTCACTGAGCTAAATAATAAAACATTTACTGCTACTACTAATATTAAGATCAAGTGCTTCAGCCTTGCCACAGGCTACATACTGTGGCACCCCCAAACCTTTAAGATTTTTAACCTACTCAAACAAATGTGGCCTTGGGCTCTTTACCAAGATGGGTGTGTCCTTTAGCAAGTCTCCTGAATCTGATAACAGGATTCCTCCTCTTTGGTTTTGGTTTTTGGCAGTGCGTTGAGGAATTCAGGAGCCCACCCTCTCAGGAGAAATACCTTAGATACAGTTCTGTGAATACATGTAGTGTGAAATCATCACGTAAATGTATTCACACTGTCGAGATCTATCCATGTCTGCTTTTTCCCCCACTATTTTAAATCGTTTTGTTGAATTATGAGAAGGGAGGAGGACCGTGTGGTGCTCCAGGTTTTGTTTCGGCTCTCCGCCTCTTTAAGTCTGCACCACATCTGATACTTTGGGCCTTTGTCGTTTGCACCGCAGTGAGTGCTCTGCTCCACATTTTGCTTGGCTGTTCTCACCACACGGGCGCTCACCCGTGGCTGCGTAAAAAGCCGCTGCGCACCGCTTCGGAAATGTAGTTTTGCGCGTCCCCGGCGGTCTCCAAAAAATGGACCTAAAATCCGAACTCCTGAAGTCCATCTGGTACGCTTTCACGTCGCTGGACGTGGAGAAGTGCGGGAAAGTTTCCAAGTCGCAGTTAAAGGTAAGGAGAATTTTAGTGCGAGACGTTTTTAAGATCAGGAAACTGAGACCGAGGGGCGTCCGCTGGAGAGAGCACAGAGACAAACACAAACGCTTTATATTCTTGCAGTTTTACTTTGGTCATCACTTCGACTCTATCTAAAGTCAGAACTCAAACGTAGTGGTGTGTACGTGTGGTGGCATACTGTGCGTGAATTCGTGTTGTAATCAGAGGAACATGAGACACGCAGACAGATTAAAAGCTCGCACTCAAATCCAGATCTTTTCAGACATTAACAGACGTTTAGCCTGTTCAGAGTGGAGGTGAAAGTCCAACCTTATCATGGCCTTGATACCACACAAAATTGTCAGGGTTTCTAAATAAAAGACGAATATTATGTTTTGCCTTCTTTCCCCCTCGGTAGGTTTTATTTTGCCTGTTAACTTGCTTTCCCTCCACTCCCTACATGCCTAACTGACCCCCCCTCTTGGTTAGAAGAATCCAGGGAAATAGCAGAAAGCTGCCCTGACATGCTTACTCACTGGTGACTAGCTGCCTGTGCTTGTGAGCGTTTGTTTGCTGATATGTGAAGAAACAAGGGAGTGTGCGGGAGTTGTGCTTAGTTTTATCCATCCACTTATGCTGTATGTCTGTTTGAATTCTCCAGGTGCTGTCCCACAACTTGTACACAGTGTTGAACATCCCACATGATCCCGTTGCTCTGGAGCAGCATTTCCAGGATGATGATGATGGACCAGTGTCTAATCATGGCTACATGCCCTACCTCAGCAAATACATACTGGATAAGGTAATGTAAAAAATACAATCTATGCAAAGGGTTTTCCTTCAGCTGCAGTTATACTCGTATTTATGTTGTTCAAAACTCTTACGAACACATCACTGAGCAGTACCTTTACCCTCGATCTCATGCTCCTTCATTACCACGATCATTAACTTAAGTTTATGTTTACATTGCGTGCCAGCTGATCGTGCAGTACTGTGTGCCGATCTGCAGTTGAATGACATTCCCATTTCATGCAGTATTTACTCAGTTTCGAGTAACACTTGCAAAAACCTACAGTACCCGGCTAACTTAAAAAGAAATTCAGAACCGACTAGTTGTTGGTTTTGGACTTATTGAGATGAGGAAAATATAGCCCTTATATCTATTTTACATTTTCCCTTTAATTTAACCTAGCTGTGCCTGAATACTTCCAGCTAGTACTTTATTAACAGTTCAGTCAAACCCCCTGGGTTTTGTTTTGTCAGGTTTTTCTTTGTTTGTAACTATTGTTACATTGCTTAGAACCAGAAATGAAGATTACAAAGCGAGATTAGTTAGCAAGCTATCGTGATCTTAAAGTCGGACATTCCAGCGACACAAAGGTCGACTCTCTTTTGACATTATGCTGAGACCGTAACATGGTCGGGCAGTTTATGTTCAGAGTTTCAGTTTTGAAAGCCCAACATTCTCTGCTGAAGAAATACGTGTTAGCTAGCCTAATAGTCACACTGTGCTTCAGAGCTGCCTTAAACCTTCGGCACAGATTCAACAAGATGCTGGAAACATTCCTCAGAGATTATGGTGACATGATAGCATCACACAGTTGGTGCACATCTCCCATTCCACTACATCACAAAGGTACTTTATTGGATGGAAATCTGGTGGCTGTGGAGGCCATTTAAGTCAAGTGAACTCTTTATCATGTTACAGAAACCAGTTTGAGATTATTTGAGCTTTGTGACATGGAGCATGGAAGCATCCATCAGAGGACGTGTACACTGTGGTCATAAAGGGGTGGACATGGTCAGCGAAAACAAACAAAAAACCTGTAATTTTTTAATCGCATGTTGAATTTGACTATTTACACTTTATGAAAACCTCTATCAAAAAACAGAAAATGTACTGGCAGAACTGTACTGGGACTTTTTCAATTTTTATAGCGCAGCTGGGTTCTTTTTACAGTGACTCTCAGGTAGGCCGCAATCTTTCAGTGATTCTTAGTTGGTACTCAGGGGTAAAAGTGTGTCAAAAAAGTATTCCCACCACTATTACATCAACAAAAAATACTTGTCTCAGCATTAGGGCTGGGCGATATGACCCAAGATTCATATCTCGATATTTTTTAGCTGGATGGCGATATAAGATATATATCTCAATTTTTTTTTTTTTAAAGCCATAAGTTAAGAACAAAAAGAGAGTTCTTAGTCACACTGTGTCCCAGATGTCACACGGGCACTTTTATTTATATACAGCGTAGATGTACATGAAAAAATTACTCAAAAATAAATTATCAGCATTTATTAAATAATCATGGTCCATAAATAAAAGAAAACTATGTTCTTTTTGTGCATAACAAAAAGCTCAGAATTGTGCAGTCAAAATGTAAACTAACAGACGCTGAGCATAATAACAAAGAGACAGATTTCACAGCTGCACCACGTCTCTGAACAGGTGCCATTTGTGGTCCTTATACACACACAGTACGGTAATATTACGTTGAAGCACAGTACGTATCACTCCGCGAGGCTCCTCCTCGGTAGCCGTAATCACCCGACAATCCATCAAGCGGTGCAGCTCCGTAGCCTATAGATAGTCATATTAAAACATTTTTTGACAGATTGCTGAGCGCTGTGTACCACATAAAATCGGTTCGCGGTCAGTAAGCACAACCAGAATTCATACATAAGGCGCACTGTCGAGTTTTGACAAAATGAAAGGATTTTAGGCCGTGCAGCCCGGTTAGCGCGGTTAGCTCGCTAACACGTTGACGCCGTCCAGCCCCACGCACGGGGCGATCCGCGGTAACTCGCTAACGGAGATTTTCCGCTTTCATCTTGTCATTGCCTGCAGATGAAGCTATGGCGGAGGGGCAGTTGTGTTCAGTGAAGGAGAGGCGAGGCCGAGTAACGCAGCGTAGAGACAAAAGTGGACGAAAGAGAGGCAAACCTGCGGCTCCACAAGTATAATTATAACGTAACATAGACTATATCGATATAAACGATATTGTCACATCTTATATCTCGCATGAAAATATATCGATATTTTTAAAAAACTCGATATATCGCCCAGCCCTAGCAGAGATCAAAACTTCTCAGACCAGAAAACATTTTCCCAATTATATTTTGTCCTGTTTCGGTGAGCCTGTGTGAATTACAGCCTCGGTTTCCTGTTTTAGCTGATAGAAGTGTGGCCTTCTGCTGCTGTAGCCCATCTATTTCAATGTTTGACTGTTTTGTACATCAGAGATGCTCTTCTCCATACCTTTGTTGTAATGAGTAGTTATTTCAATCACTGTTGAAGCAGTCAAGGGATTTTTTACCACTCAATGTTTTCTCTTTTTCTGACCATTCTCTGTAAACCCCAGAGAATGCTGTGTGGGGAAATCCCAGCAGATCAGCAGTTTTTTGACATAGACTATCTGGCACCAACAATCATGCCATTTAAAGTCACTAAAATCATCTTTCTTCCCCATTCTGATGCTCAGTTTGCACTTCAGTAGGTCGTCTTTACTTAATAATATCTACACGCCTAAATGCATTGATCTGCTGCCATGTGACTGGCTAATTAAATATTTGTGTTAATGAGAAGCCAAACAGGTGTATCTAACAAAATGAGTGCACCTCACTAGCAACATAGCAGTGGAAATGTGTGTCACATTGTCACAGGATTTTCCATGTACTCAGCTGGTGATATTTTTATGCTTGATGCCAATGCTGCTGAAGTCCTTTTTTTACACTGTTAAGAGTTGTAGCTGAGTTATTGTAACTTAATGATCTTCTGAAGCAGTCAGTCTTATTTGCAGCAGCAGTGTTGTGTTTTACTCTTATATTTATATAAACTTTAGAGATCTTTGTAACCCGTTTCTTCTGACTGCAGCACGCAGTGCTCAGTCGAGTCCCATTTTATATAAGTGTGCACAGAGATTGAAGCAGAAAGCGTGAGTTAATCGAGAAAGATGATAACCAGTGTCATGATAAGAAAGCCAGGCAGTGTTGAACTTCCTTCATAACACACCCCTCAGGAAACAAATAATCTTATGTAAAACTGTTTTAAAAAGTGCAGTTTTAGTTTCAGTTCAGAGCATTTCCAGTTTTGCATTTCCAGGTCAAAAAGGGGATGTTTGATAAGGAGAAATTTGATGACCTGTGCTGGACAATGACCATGAAGAAGAACTTCAGAAGGGTGCCACAGGGGACACTGCTATCGGAAAGGGACTGCTTCAAGCTCTTCTGTTTATTCAACCTTCTGTCAGAGGACCGATACCCACTGGTGATGATACCAGAGGAGGTAATAGTTATGAAGAATAAGGAGAGTGAAATGTGTTCACTGAGAATTTGTAGAAACACTTAAAGTTGGAGAGGATTTTATTTTAGGCAACTGATTGAGGCCTGATTTATTAGGGCTTTCTTGAAAAGGCTCAAATCCACAGTGATTATATTTTAAGTCATTTGTATGCTATAAATGGAAAAATGGACACACATTGTACAAAAAGTTAAACAATTCACTTTTGATTTAAAAGAAACAATTTAAGAGAGTTAGAGGAACAAACACCAGCAACGCTTGTAGTTTTTAGACACTGCTATACCCAAATACCCAAAAAGAAATATAATTTGTGTGTGATGACAGAGTTAGGACAGTTTAAAGATTTTCTCAGTAGGAAAATACAAGTGCAAGTAAGTTAGTTAATGAGGCTCTTCCTTCCTGCACTTCCTCCATAATGCTTTTGGTATCCTGTCGACAGAGATAAAAATAAACGGCTTCTGTAGAAGTCACTCAGTGAGCTCCTCATGAAGAGTGATATCAGAAAACCACAGAATACAATCTGTGTTGAGTCAGTATTTGCATTGTCGGTGCCGTTAATATTTGGTTTTCGCGATGTGCAAAAAGTTTCGTATACAAATATTTGAATGCTTCTAGGTGGAGTATCTCCTCAAGAAAATCTCCACTGCGATGAGCGAGGAGTGGGATGGGAAGCCCATGGAGGACTTACTATCGCAGGATGCTACAGTGTGGGAAGAGGGAATGTCCGTGTGGACCTTCCTGGAGGATATGAGTGCAGGCCGGCTGCTGAGCGTCACCAGCGCTGAGGCCTTCAGCCTGGCTTTAGATGAGGTGTTCCTGGAGATCTATCACAGCGTTCTCAAGAGAGTGAGTTGTGCTGTGTCACTGGAGCCTATTTGACTGCTCCCTTGACATTTTTGTCTTTCTTTGTTCTTCAATTGATCCCTTGTTTTGCAGGGTTACATGTGGAAAAAGGGGCATGTGCGTAGGAATTGGACTGAGCGCTGGTTTGTGCTGAAGCCCTCCTCCATGGCCTACTATGTCAGCGAGGACTTAAAAGACAAGAGAGGGGAGATCCAGCTGGATCAGAACTGTGTCATAGAGGTTAGTGAGGAAAACTCAGCATGTTTAACTCTTTACCAACCAACGCTGTGACTTATATACATTTTTTTCTTTCAGTCTATTCCAGACAGGGAGGGGAAGCGCTGTCTGTTCTGTGTGAAAACCCATAGTAAAACCTACGAGATGAGCGCGCCTGACCAGAAACAGAAAGTGGAGTGGACTCAAGGTGTGTAACTTACAATGTGTGTGCTCATTGGTTTAGTGTGGTTGAAATGTACTGAAGCTTATCATAGTGTATATAAATAATTCCAGGATCTTTCAGATATATTGAGGCCACTTGTCAAACAATCTGTGTTTCATTGGTTGCTAATTATTTGTGTTTCTTTTGCCAATGATTAAGAAAACTTTCAGAAGTCAGCTGAAGCTTATAAAATGTTGACTAAGTCACAGTTACAGCCAGACTCGATAATGCTAAAATAGTTTTCCCTCGATGTTTTGGGTCAGTATCTCCACAATTCATCGTGCCACTTCTATAAGCAGTCACACCTTCAATAAACACTAGTGACTCAGTTCTTTGTCTCCACCATGTTTGACGGAGGACGTTGTCTACATGTCCAAGTTAAACTCAATTTCATCTTTACAATATTTTTCATAACTGTGCAGGCTCTTTTTTATTCTTAGTAATGTTTAACCTGACCTTCCAGTTCTTGAGCGTAACCAGTGCTTTGGACCTTGTTGTAAGCTCTCTGTATTTCCATTCATGAAGGCACCTCTTGATTACAGACTTTAACAGTGATATCTCTACCTATACTCTGATAGGTGTATTTTAGGTTTTCAGCCTAATGATGGCCTCCTTCATTTGCACTGATATCTCTTTGGGTCTCCTCTTTAAAATTACATATATTATGTCTGCTTTATTTGTCATAAAATAACAAGGGGACTCACTGAAACTGCTTTTTAGCCAATTGGTGTTTTTGAGCATTTGAAAATGGAGGACTGTGTATAAAAATGGCTGTAATTCCTAAAGAGTTAATGCATTATTTTTTCAAAAACCTTTGAATTAAAGGTGAAAGTCTGCACTTCAGTCACGTCTTGATTGTTTAATTTAAAATTTACTGTGGTGTTGGACAGAGATAAAGCACAAAAATGGTCTCTGGTAACTATATAAAAACTGCTTTCAACCATGACTCAGTGCCATTAACTTCCACAAGAAGCATTATAGAATGCAGCTGTCTACGAATGGAGAAAATCCAGGACTTTCTCCTTTTATCAGAAGGAGTTTTAAGAGTTGAGAAAAAAGAAGCAATGACCAAAAACACTGCACAACACTATTAAGCATGGTGCAGGGAGCATCATGATTTTAGGTTATGCAAGTCTCTTAAACAGCTGCAAGAAAAGGTGTGATGGAGGTTGTTGATACTAAATGAGATTTAACTAGTTAGTTACTGCTTCCTGTAATAACAAATTGTGTTTGCCTACGATTGTGACTGAGATAAGGAGCCACATTTCATGAATAATAGGTTCAGACAGCTTGGTAATTTGAAAAGAAGTCACAAAACACCTCTTCTACAAAAAAGACAAAGAAGTACAAAGTTTGGGTTAAAGTGGACATGACTATTTTTCTTACAGCTCTGCCTTGTAACACTGAGACGCATCTTTTTTTTTTCATGAAAGAATGCTGCCATGGCTTTCTCATGTAAAAACAAAGTGTACATGTAGTTCGTATCTTTGCTTTGTTCGTAGGCTGTTCATTCTATTTATAGCAGCAAATGTGGTGTCTGCAAAGATTAATGATAGTGTGGCAGCTGATCCAGGTGATAATGAAGGTGATGATGAGGGTTTGCTAAGATGCAACTCATAGCAAGAAGTCTTTTCTGAGGGAAGCTATAGAAGGAATATATTGTTTTTTAATTGTTTTAATATATTATTTTCTATAGCAAGGCAACAAACTTGCATTACTATTTTTATGTATTCTTTCACTATTCAGCCATTCAAACTGCCCTCCGTCTTCAGAGTGAGGGAAAGTCTTCCCTTCACCATGAACTCAAACTGAAGAGACGGATCCAGCGGGAAAACAGTCAGCGGGAACGCAGCCGGAGCGCCCGCAGCAGCTGCAGCAGCAGGGGCAGCCAATCTGATGACTTGACTATCAATGAGACGGAGAAGACAGAAAAAGACAAAGACAAACAGGACTTAGAGATTGAAAACATTATCAAGGTAAGTGAGGGCTATAAGAATCTTTTTTTGTAATATTTATTTAATTACATCATGCACCAAACTATCCATGGTAGTGATTATTTAACTAATTCATAGTGGCACTGGGCAGCTGCCAGTGCAGTTCATTTTGTCCATTTAAAAAGTACCATGTACACTCACTGGCCACATTTTTGTTAGATACACCTGTTGAGCTGCTCATTAGGTCAAATACCTAATCAGCCTATCACATGGCAGCAGCTCAGTGCATTTAGGCATGTATACATTAATAAGACGACCTGCTGAAGGTCAAAGGAGATTTAAATGACTTTGAACATGCACTGTTGTTTGTGTCGGACAGGCTTGTCTGAGTATTTCAGAAACTGTACAACCATCTAACCGGTTTATAGAAAATGGTCTGAAATAGAGGAAATCTCCTGTGAGCAGCACTTCTCTGGGAAAAAATCACTTGTTGGTGCCAAAGATCAAAAGCGGAATGAGCAGATTACTTACAGCTGTAAGGAAAGCAACATGAACTCAAATACCCACTTACTTCAACCACGTTATCAGGAAGAGCACCGCTGAAAGCACAATACGTTGAACCTCGAAGCTGATGGCCTAGTGTCACCTGCTGGATAGAGGTGAAAACACAAACCAAACAATGGCTCTTTCATCTGTTTCACAGCATGCACGGGAACTGGAAACTCGCCGAAGGGAGGCAGAGGAGAGAGAGCGGAGGAAGCAGAAGGAGGTGCAGATGGAACTGGAAAGACAGCTGAAAGAGGCTGAGATGGTAAAAAAAAAAAGTTTTCCACTTGACACCAATTATGTACAGAGTCTTTTCTCCTTGACTTTGATCTTTGAGAACTGCAGCAAAATGTTGACTGTCATTATAAAATTCACACCTAGTCTTTAATGATTTGGAAAAATGGTTATGACAGTCCAGGAAAAGGTGATTCAGGAATTGGTCAGTTTATACCGCTCTGTTGTGCATCTGTTTATGTAGCTGTGTGTGTGTGCATAGATAAAAGACAGCATGCAGGCTGAGATGCAGGTGAAGGAAAAGGAGGCTGAACAACAGAAGAAGAGGATCAGGGAGCTGGAGCTGACACAGCAGCAGCTGGAAGTTGCCCTTAATATGGAGATCCAGGCTCGGCTGGAGGAGGAGAGGGCCAGACTGGAGCTTGAGCGGTAACAATGGATTTCTAACTCTTATTATGGCCCTTTATTATTTTATTTGTGATGGAGATCTGAGATATCCATGAGAAGTATTAACATTTTCAGTTGCTTCTTCCCTTTTTCCCCTCCTTCAGGTTGCTGCAGGCTGAAGATGAAAAGAGGAAACATTTCCAGCTCCTCCAGGAGCAGCAACGTACAATGCAAAACCTCAGCCCCATACAGGAGCTGTCAGATGGCAGTCCCGATGAGGACACCCCCTCAGCCCTCAACTCTGCCTCTCAGGAGCTCCAGGATCTGCAGGCATCTCGCCAAAGAAGTCACCAGCGTCTGGAGGTGAGCAAGTTTGTTTTGACTGGCTTTGTGAGCAGCATCTTATTTAGTGCTCTTCTAAAACAATACTGATGAGGATGCCTGCATGATTTTTGTTTCCAGGAGGTTCAGGAGAGGCTGAGGAATGCCAGTCAACATGTACGGCACTGGAACATCCAGCTGAACCGACTGATGACCCCCATTACTCCTGCAGGTGCGGTATTCACTTTGCCTCTTTGCAGTACAGACTTCAGGAACAGAGTGTTAGTATAGTTAATAACAGTGTAGACCATATAATCTGTCAGATAATTGCATTAAAATGCTACAAAAGGCACCTACCCCCAAACATGTCAAGAGATTCATTCAGTGACTTGAATGAAAGAATCTGACTCACCTCAAGTTAATTAAAATTAAAACTAAATCTTATTATGATTTAAACACGGAAATCTTAAAACGAAAAATAACCGCATGCACAGTACAAACAGTGCAGGGGATAGTGCTATATACAAAGTGGTGACAGGGAAAAGGCTCCGGGGAAATCCAGGTAGGGAAAAGACACTTGCTCCTCTTCTGACTCTCTCTCCAAACACTCACACAAAAAGGGAATCCGCTCGGGGAATGCAG